ATCTTACCATGAAACATTGTGACCTTTGGGAGTCCAGCTCCCCCTCTACTGAGGGCAGACCGGGTCCCTTTACGTAAATATTGGCGTTTTAGGTCTCTGCAGAAAGCTGAAAGCTCATTAAAAGCACTTGCAAACACACATGAAACGAGAAGCAAAAGTGAGGAGTTTGTTGATTGAACCCTCCTGGATCCCATCCCCATTATGTGACCCCCCCCCCACCTCTGATGAATTTTCACTTTCGTTAGATGATTTCTCTGGGAGACGACGCTGTTCTTCAATGCAGGTTAGAAGTTTACTGAGAAAAAACAGCTAATAATATTGTGAACTATTTAGACATGGATAAAAAATGGCATTACACGAAACGTACACCACGGTTTAATGTAACGTATAATAACACGGAGCAGCAATACCCTGCATGACAACCAAATAAAGGGAGCAGAACATCTGCTTTCCTGTTTTTTAAGTCAGTTTTTTCCCTCTTAATCCTTTAAAGCCTGATCCAAAAAAAAAAACAAACAGAAAATTACTTTTTTTTTGTTTGAATTCCTTATTTGGCCTTTTAACTAAATATGTAAAAAGAAAAAACAGAAATACATTTTTAATATTATAAATGTATTACTATGCGATAACGCAAGATTATTTTTTGTGTAGTCTTCTTCCCCTTGTTATCAGGTGTATCTGATTGTGTACAATAGGATTTTGAGCAAAGTTTTTACCATTAAATCATGCAAAAGGTGTCAGACGCAAAACATTTCAGAAACCGTACGTATCAGATATGATACATTTGGCACAACAGGGCTAATTTTTTCGTCCATTAGTGCTCATTCAATCCAAAAACAGTAAGTCAATCCTCCAGCTCCGGGGCGGAGAAAGGGTGCGATGTGACATGTGTGTGGCACATTCCTGCGGGACAAGGCGGGCAGACACAGTTTGCTGCCACATTTACCGGCACAAACAATGCAAACAAACGGCCGAAACCCGAGCACACGCCGGGAATAACGCGGGGAGCCGACCCACAAAGACGAACACCTGACCGAACACGGCCGGGGACAGTCAACACCTATTTTTAACTCCTCCCGGCTAATTAGTTTACATTCTGAATGTGTGTGTGTGTGTGTGTTTTGGCCTCTCTTTGCTCTGCACTCAGCTGATGGATGGCCGGCTCCCACAGCCAAACCGACAGCTGTTCTCCGCTCATCTCTTTATTATTCCCAGATCTGGACTCCCTCAGCTCCTTTTACTGCTGCCAATCTCCAGCTATCCCAACATCAGGCGATCACTTTGAGTAAAAAAAATCGATTTGGATTCATTTATTGCTGACTAAAAGTGCCGGACATCTAAAACAACTCATGTTTGATACCATCAGCCAGGATGTCTCTACAGGGTTTTTTAATTTTTTTAAATCTGAGGCCCATCTGAGGTTCCTGGGCCCAGATGTGTTTTTTTCCACTGCCCCATATTTCTCCTGTGATGAATCTAAGATGGTTGTCGTTCATGTAAACTTGTCAAAATAAGTGCCAAGACAGCACAGAGTTTAGGAGTCATTGGAATGAATAAATACTCATTTAAATGATGACTTTAAGTGCCATATCTGCTTTAAACCACCTTCGTATAGCCGGATAACCAGGGTGTCCATATCAAAATGAGGTTCTGAGGAAATTAATAAGAGACAATCTCTGCATGTGTCAATAAAAAAAAACTCCTAAAACACTAATAATCCTCCTTATACTTATGATACTTGTTTACACTGATACCAGTAGCAGGTTCAAAATAGGAGCACATAAAACTATACTCTTAACTCATTGGCTGCCAAAGACGTCTATAGACGTCTTTTATGTTTTTCAACGAGAGTGGCTGGGGGACGATCTGCTAAAGCTTGTCCGTAAATATTAAGCTTCTAGACAGAGTATGTACTAACAAATTGACCCTCTAGGGGGCAGTGCCACTTTTGATGGGAGATGAGCATAG